AGAATAGAATACATTCTGATGATCATGGTTACCATTCCTGAGGACTATGATGTCATACTTCCGTTCCCTGTAATATCACCTAAAAAGAAATGCATAGAGAATGAGAAAGATAAAAAAAAAAAACATTTCCATAAGTCTCTCTCGTAGTCCTTCTAGTATTCACACCCTTTCTGATCAATACCATCATATATATATCGCCATGTGGTCTCGGTAAAGAATAGGCCACCCCTTCCTTTTCCGTAGGTGTCGTAAGAATCGACTAAGGGAGGGTGAGGAATAGGCAGCAGCGTCCCTCTTAAAACATCCCTAAAAACCTAATTGCGGTTGCTAACCTCCCTGTCAAGCATGGCAACTCAAAAAAAAAAATATATATATATATATATATATATTTCTATTTAAAACATACAACGTTTTCTAGTTCGAAGTGACGTGAGCATATTACTTTCCTAACTTATGACAATCGTGTTATTTAAATGTTCCAAATATGAATTGGAAAACTTTGAGGTTAGGCGCGGAATTCGATTTTCAAATCCCCAGACTAGAAGCTCGACATTCGTAATTCACAGAATAAATACTCTTGATAATACTTAATACAGAGACTATAATCGATTGTTTATGTTGCTTACTCTACGCTGTATGATTCTATATAAAACAATAAAAATCTATTTGGTTTACGAAGCAATATTTACATCTATTTTTTTACTACTTTCATCATACTGAATGATTTTTTCTTTTAATTATACGTAAATGATTCTATATAAAACAATAAAAATCTATTTGTGTTTAAAGTCCTCTGGTTGTAGGTTTCTCAGCAATATTTTTTACAAAAACTCTATTTTTTTACTACTTTCATCATACTGAATGATTTTTTTCTTTTAATTATTTTTTTGTTCGTGGTTCCCCGGATGTCTTCCACTCTTTGCTTTCACGGCCATTCTTGCCGAGTTTCGAGAGTGTTTTAAATTAATATGCTTTGTTTTAAAAACTGTGATAAATATTGCCCGCATTTAGAAGCTAAAATATAATAAAAAAAGGAAATACTATTATTCCGTTCGCTTTAACATTTTTGGCTGATGCAATTTTTTTGCAATGCGCGTCCATATTTCAATATTGCATGTAATTCAATTAAAAATTCCCTAGATCAAGTGGACTTTTCAATTTCAATATGAAATTTAACGTAGCATAGATAATAGAGGCTACTTTCAATTACTGTAGCAATGCATATTTTAAGCTTAAATTATATACAGCGTTTTTGACACTCGATGTGTCAAAAGCGTATCAATAATAGCTAATTTCTTTTTCTAACCAAAACTTTTTATTCAGTGTTACTAGTAATTAAAAATTTCCTAGATTAGGTCGATTTTTTTAAATTGAATTGAGAACTATTTTTTCCAATTAATATAAATATGTACGTATTGCTTGCAAATTAATATATGTACATATATTAATTAGAATAGAGGTCATTTTTAAAGATTTATATCCGAACATATATTCTAAGACTATACTTAGATATAAAGCAAAGAAACCAGTAAAAATAAGCGTCATTCCGAATAATTATGCTCTCATTATCCTTTTTATTAATTTTTTTTAATTTAATCTTAAATTATAACTTTTCCCTTATACAAAGTAATAAATCTACGTTATGGCAAGTCTATTCGCCCATACATGGATAAAAAAGTTGACCTGTATTGGTGTAACATTTGTATGGAGGCATTCTATCTATATTATCTAAGATTCCAAGTTTATTCTTAGATATCGATCAAAGTAATCAGCAATGAAAAGCATTATTATATAATCATGATGATATCTAAAAAAAAAAACACTTTTCCAAATCCAGTGAGGGATTTTTTGAAAATTGCACTGTTTTTGGCAAAGTAGTTATATTAAAACCCTATATTTAGTAGTATCTAAGGATTACTCAGGCGGGAAATGTCTGTTAAACCAATAAATTAATAGTGGTTTCACCGGGACAAGAAACGACGTAACCCAGGGAATTTAGACTGAATTTATGAGTTTTGAATTGCGACGCTAAAACTTCTCTACTGCAAAACATCAATGGTAATGTTAGATCTATTAAACTTCGAAGAACTAGGGCCTCAGCTATTATTGGGCAAAGATCATTATATAATACAGTTGCACAAATAAAATTGAAATATATTGCAACGCAAATTACAACTTAACCTTTTTAATCGCAACAAAATTATTATACAAAAGAAATCGATATTCATATTGCAGAATGAAGCAAGTCAGTTTAAAAACATCTTTATAAACTTTCAGTTATAATCGGCCATCTTGTGGCTGACGCCATTTCAAAGCGAATCAGATTCATTTGATATCCATATTATTAACGTTGACAAAATATATCCCATCCACTATCATATACGAGTATTGTCGGCCATTTTGAAAATATTGAAATATTGAGTATTGCATATTGTATTACTAGAACCAGCGATAATTAAAAATGTATACAAAATTTCAGCTTAATCGGTTCAAGTTTAGTCCACCTACAAAAAAATAACATGCAAATTATTTTATTTAACTTTAAAAAATACATCAACAAACAACACAATATTTCATAGACACATTCTATTTAAAATAATTGAATTTAGAACGCGCATCGCAGTAAATTTTGCCTCGCAACAAGCAGAAATTTTATTGCGAAATGCCTCTATCGTCACTAAATAAACGGACCAATATGGAAATAAATCCTATCATATATTTATTTTTTTATTTAAGGAACACCAACAGCATATTGCATTATAACATATAGGTATAACAACATTAAATACAATACAATATTAATGCACATGCCTATTATAGGTATTCACAGCATTCACTTTAACATACATACAGTGTAAGAAAATTAAGTAAATAACAAAAATAAACATGTAATCTAAGTTGTGAGCAATATCATAAAATAAGATTATGAGTGAATTAAATTAAAAAAAATATTAAAAAAATATATATTATGACAATTAGAGTTAATTTTCATAAGATTGTTGTACAAAGTGCTTCAGCAATTTATTCCTGTAGGAATTCGAATTATCGTACACTATATCAATTTCAGGTAATTTGGCATTAATTTCATTGTATGACGCACTAATCCTAGCCAGAGGTTGATGCAGTCCTAGGTTTGTTCTGCAGCGCGGTAAGCTAAATGTTCTAGTTATAGGGTGTCGAGGATAATTTAGAGGTACCGTTAATTGGATTGAACTCAGTAAATCTGCACAATGAATTTTATTATTGAGAATTTTATGAATAAACATTAAGTCTGCAATCATACGACGCGTCTTAAGAGAGGTAATGTTAAAGAAGGACATTCTCTGACTATAAGGTCGCCTATGCGATATGTTACGGGTTATGTAAGCTAGGTGTCTAGTGAATGCTCGTTGGATACTTTCTATTCTTTGAGATGAAGAGCTGTAGACTGGATTCCAGGAAACAGAGGCAAACTCCAAACGACTACGTACTAAACTGTTATAAAGAATTAATCTAGTTTGCCTCAATTTAAAGCCTTTTAAAGAACGTTTAAGGAAACCAAGCATTTGTGCCGCCCGTGTGACAATATTATTTATGTGTACATTAAATTTAAGTTTGCTATCAAGCAATACTCCTAGATCTCGAATTTCACTAACAACTACCAGTTTTTCACCGTTTAAAGAATAACTTCTATAGGATAAGATATAATAATAAGATTCTATAGGTTTAATTTTACGAGTAAAACGAAAGTACGAACATTTATTTGTGTTAAGTAACATACCATTCAAAGTAGACCATTCCCCAACACCATCTAAGTGTATAAAATATATATGAAAGTTCGTTTAAAATTGGCGAAAATATCATATGATAGACTATATATCAAAATATAAAAATGATGATTTTTTGTTTTCATAAGTAATTAAAAATAAAAAAAAATGACTTTAATTACTTAATAGCATACATACAACAGGAGAGAATGAAGAAGGAAGATTAGGAGAGAACACAGCAAAACAGTACTTAAAAGGAGAGATAGTAGGATTTAACAGAGGTTTTAAAGCTAGCGAGGGTTTGAACTCACCGAATAGAGGCAGATAGTGAGTTCCACAGGCCAGCCTGGACAGTAACGAATTTAGAATAAAAGGAAGAATAAGGAACGGGAAATTTGAGGCGAAGGTTGTTGACACTGTGCGAAATATTGCTATTAACCTCACCGAGAAACACGAATCGATCATTTTTCATATAGTCTATTCTTTATAATCTTCATTCTAGTAATAAAAAGCAAAAAACAAACTGTCTATAACATTTTCACGGACAAACGTATAATATCCAATTCTAAGAACTGACTAAAGTAAACACATAAAAAAAAATCTAGAAAAATGTGCTAGTCGCGTCTAAATACTTATGTATACAGACACCTATTAATACCAAGCTTTATATAAATATTTACATCTATAAAAATTACATATATGCTGTGCCAACATTACCAGTTTGGGTATTTTCTTCAAAATTTCGGGTAAAATTATTGTGTTCGCCAAATTTTGGCGATAGATAATTGTTTAGGAATATTTTGGAGAAGTATGGAATAAAATTTAAGTATTTTTTGAGAGATTTAATATTTGTAAATAGTATAAATGTCAAGTTAGTTAAAATTGAAGAGAATTTACCAGTGAAGCTAGCAACATGAGGCGAAGAAATCAGGTGTAAATAAAATCTTCTTTCTTAATTTTTCGTAGTTCTCATAATAATTACATGGTAAATTGAAAACCGTTAAGTGTGTTATTAGGTAAAAATTAACGAAATTGTATCAATTAGAGAAAAATCTGACATTTGGACAAAATCAACAATCAAGTCTGGCAACCCTGGATCTAGCAAAACTTTAATTCATTAAATAATAAACTGTCAAACTTAGTACTTTTACAAATTACTTACATATTAAGTAATTAATAATCTACTATAGAAATCACCGACTGTCATAAACAACTTTAAGGCAATTAATTATTATAATAAAATGGAGTACATACGCTATAAGTATTCATCGGCTTGATTTTCTTTATTGCTTTTACGAAGTAGCAATGGTTAGTCGACCGGCAATCTAAATTAAAAGCGTTTATATTATTACATGTTTAATAGAAAGACTCAAAACTATTCGCTATATAAAAAGAAGGGCAATTAATATTATATTTCAATTTTTTTTTTTAACTTTCAATCACTTTAAACTCACCTTCACCTAACGTCATACCGTTGACAGAAGACGAATGAATACAAACTGTTCACATCTCAAATCTATCTCAATCAATCAATATAATTCATACTCTTTCATTCATACTCGTTTTCTACACAAGTAGATTATAACCCACTAAAAAATTTCTTTTATTGTAGTAAAACCTGTTAATTTAAAAACTTAACTACTAAACTAATTTTGATTAAATTTCTATGGGACTAATCTGAAGGTTTAAGACAAAAAATGGTTTATAAATGATAAAGTTGTGAACATAAAGTCACAACCTTCATTTGGTTGTGTTTTTTTTTCAACCTCTTCCTTTTCAGACACATACTTTATTATGCTTACATTTCAGAAAATAAACTTATTTTCATGTAATTACCAATAGCACGTACAGTACAAAAACAGCGTGATCAATAGCTATCACTACTATTAGAATGTCTGGACAATAGACAAATGTGTGTGTATGTGTGTATATATTCGTAGTATACTGGGCTCGCTGTTTTTTTTTTTTATTTCAATCTCCCGATAGGTCATTTTTGAGTCAGAAATACGGGATAAATAAAAAGAGACTGAGAACAATCATACTATATGAGTACTATCACTTTTACTGTGATTCTGTTCCGAATATCTTAATAATATAATAAAACTGTAACTAGACGATATCTGCGGGTCTATCATGAAATGAAATTCCGAAATTTCGGACTCAATTTCGTGTTTTTGTTTATACCAAAATCGGATCAATAAATGGAGTTTAACATTTCGTTCGTCATACATCCTATCATAAAAGTCCAAAGGAACAATATTTTAACATTTTTAATATTTTCAAACGACATCTATTATGTAATTTTAACATCAAATTTCTGTTTCGTTTGGCTTCGAAATTTCGAAAAACATTTCATGGTAGGCCCTCTGTACATAAAAATAAAAAAAAAAATAGGTGTGGTTTCAATAGGCATAATAAAACCAAAACAACAGTTTTCAGAGTTTTTTGTCTTTCCATCTGTCTTTACCTTCTGTATGTTCCGAGATCACGTAAAACCTACTGCAACAAACTGGATGCGGTTTAGACTATTGAATTCCTGAAAGTCTAACTTCAAAACTGATCTATGTTTATTTTGATCAACCAACTAAGTTTTACTGCTTTGAAATCCACGCGTCACAGCCGCTAAAAAGTTTGTAATATAAAAATATCCAAGATAATTCGTGTCGAATGTCAAGCGTCACTACGTTCGTGGTTACTAGTTGAATCCTATCAATCAATTGTAGCCACTTCCTGGAGCTAGGGTCGACCCGCATCATTCATATATTATCTAAAGTTAACCGTTCCATTCAATAAAAGTTACGAGTGTCCATAACGAAGTATTGCAACGTAGCAATTATCCGTCAATTTTCATAAACAATCGAACATTTTTCAATGTTTTTGACTGATTATTTAAAAAGTGTTCTGCTAGCAAACTAAAAAGTTAACCATGCAATAATACTGTTATTAAACTATCAAGAAAAAATTGGATTTTGATGGCAAAAATTTATCTAAAAAATTTTAACACAAAATATGTAATAAATTCAAAGTTTTCAATGAAACATTTGTATACAACATATTCTATAATCAACGTCATAGTTCACTAGTACAGCACTTTTGAAATAATCACTCAGAACCATAGAAAAATTTATTTCTTTTTAATTGACATATTACTGCGACGTTGCCACACTTCGGTAAGCAAAGTTATGAACGCTCTTAAATATGAATTACCAATTGAAAAAGGTGTGGCCACTTCAATACCCAGACAATAAATATGTATTTTTTTAAAGAATAGTAATATCAATGCATGAATTTTACCATGAGCATCATATCATCATCATATCAGCCGTTAACTGTCCACTGTTAAACATAGGCCTCCACCATAAGGGAGGATTTACCAGTAGTTGCCACGCTTATCAGGCTGGCTGGTAATCGCTGTTAGGCTTTGGTGATGTTTTAAGAGAGATGCTGCTGCTTATCCCGCGACTATTAAGTTTCCTTAGTCGCCTCTTACGACACCGACAAGAAAGGAAGGGGTGGTCTATTCTATACCGGGACCACACGGCATCCTCGGGTATTATAGTGTATTCTATAATATCCATAGAGTTAACCATATTTATAGGTAACGGTTACTTTCCATTATACGTTAATACCACTTGATTGGGAGGAGGGATTGTTAGTAAAGGGGAGGTTAGTCCCCATTGCTATCAGTATACCCCATTAGGTCGACCTCCACGCGATTCTCCCTGGAAACCATCGTGACTAATTTATCGTTGAATTCGTCACGATGGGCTAACTGACCTGCCTTTTCATCCACACCTATCATCTTTCACTGGTGCCCCTCCAGTGTATACCGATAGCGCAGGCGAGGTAACCATTCCATTATCATCCATTAAAAAAAATACCACTTGATTTGCCATCCCAAAATGCATTAAATAAAAGAATCGCTATAATTGAGACCACACCCAACCAACGATTCTGAGGGCTTACAAATTAACTCCCTAATTAGTGATAATGGAGTCATATCCTGTGAGGCACATTTGGTACATACATAGATATGATTGTGATTTACAGGAAACGATAACGTACAACGTTCATCGCTTTGTCTTGGAAGCTGTAGAGATTTTAAGGGGTTATTACACTAACATATTTGTAGTAACACATACATTTTTTTAATGGGTAAGATTAGAATAGTAACTCTGCTTGCGCTATTTATATGCACTAGCGGGGCATCAGTGAGGATAAAAGCAAGTCAGTTAGCCCATTGTGTTCACGAATCACCGTTTTAAGGGAGACTGCGTGGAGGTCGACCCGATAAGGTATATTGTTAGTAATGGGGCTTTTAGACCCTATTACTAACAAATCCTTCCTCCCCTTCCTCAACATTCTTATCATTTCTCTTTTCTAAATATGAAAAGGCTATTTTACATAACTATTTATTTTTCTTTATTATAAATTAAAATTTATATAAGTGACGAGATTTTTTTTATACTACTTAGAATGGCAAACAAGCTGACGGTCCACCTGATGGAAAGTGGTAACCGTTGCCTATAGACATGAGCAGTACCATGGACATAACAGAGTATACTGTTTCGCCCATGATACCCCTTATGCGTTGCCATTCCTGAGGACTCAGGTGTTATTCCTCCGTACCCAGTAAATTCACGCCATATCCCACCCTTCAAACCGAAACACAGCCATGCAAACACAACCGCTTCACGATAGAAACACGAATGGGACAGAGGTACTCAAGCAATCGACTTTTGTACAAAGTCTCCCTCTGGTAGGTATATAATAAATACAAGCGAATTGAGAAACCACCTTCTCTTTGAAGTCAGTTGAAAAGATGGCCTGCGTAATAATTTGGCATATGGCAGTGTAATAACGTCCCAAGATAAAGCTAAACGTTGTACTTATCTATTATTTTATCTATGATTGTATGTAGAAATGAATAGGGGGAGATGAAATAGATCATGCTTTTATGTCTAATGAATTATGGATTTTACTGGTATGAACGGTGAATCGAAAATAAAAATTAACTCTAGTAACGAGGATATCCGCAAAAGTACCAAAGCAACCGACATAGCCCGAAGAATAAGCAATCTGAAGTGGCAATGGGCTGGACACATAGCTCGATGAACCGACAACCGTTGGCGAATAAAGGTTCTTGAGTGGTGACCTCGTACGGGCAAACGTCGTGTAGGACGACCCCCCTACTAGATGGAGTGACGACCTCAAATGCATTGCAGGGAGTCAGTGGATGTAGGTGGTTCAGAACCGTTCCTTATGGCGCTCTATGGGGATAATGGCTGAAATAATTATGATGATATAATAAATTGATTCACTTGAAAAATTTTGACATCCATATTCTTATGTACTTTCTCAATTCGCCGGGTTTTTTTGTGTATATATATATAACACAATATTATCGCCACTTCTTTTTGTAATCTATAAAATTCACCAGGTTTATATCTTATCGATTCCTAATTCCTATTTTAAATTCCGATTAGTCATGTTTTTCAACAGATTTAAAAAAAAAACGGAAGTACTCAGTTCGGTTCTATTTTTTTTATGTTTGTTACCTGATAACTTCGACCTATTTAGAAAATTCTTTCTTTATCTGAATATCCTTTCAAATTGGTCCCATATATATCATATTATCAATATTAGTTTCATAGTTTAGTTTTTAAGTCATAATAATGTGTTATTATGAGTTAAAAACTAATTTATGTTATCAAATGTGTGTTCAATTGTAGCATAACCAATATCACAGTTGAAGTCGGTTTTTTTTTTATATATTCTTTATTGCACAAAAACATACAGTAACAACAATAAGTTAATAACAATGTTAGCAAAGGCGAACTTATCTCTAAAAGAGATTTCTTCCAGTCAACCTAACGCAGTGGCATAGGAAGTAGTGAGTGTAGTAAAGACAATTTAAATAAATATTTACATAAATTATAAATAATTATATATATACACACATGCATTCACATATATACATACATACACATACACATATATATACATATACACATACATATACACACATACATACACACGTTAAATACAACATATAAATATCAAATACAAGAGAACACAATGATGACAGTCTTCTAATCATTTTTATATTTAAATTAAAATTGGAAAGATAAAATAAGTTTTTTTGTGAAACAATATAATTATTTGTGGAGCAAAATGCTTAATTATTGTTACTTAGTTATATCGAATCGTCTAATATTATTTATTTGACCTAATAAACAAACCAGATTATATAAATTATATATAATTTTCTAGAATAAGAAATTCGAAAATTCGAAACTTTAAGCCCTTTTTTCATTTGATAGCC